GTGGACACTATTTATGAAAATATGAATTTGCAACGACGTGCACAATCTGGTAATACTTGCGATAAGCGTTATGCATATGTATTAACCGGTCGACGATATTTTGCAACTAAGGGAAACGAGGTTAGAGGAGTGAATGGGGAAGTAGGAACAGCGAGAAGATGCACTGACGAAAAAGTTGCTGTTGCGTGAGCTCGTGCGGCCTGCCACGAAGTCTCACAATGGGAGCGTAGCTCGTCGGTCGATAATCCTGATTTAGTTGCGGTCGTATATTAGACTGAGGATCGTGAAATTGAATGGCGGAATCAGCAGAGGCCGATCCGGCTTTCAACCACGAGAGGAAGAAGCCGAACTGTACCGTGCGAAAAATAAACTATCCTTGACACGCGGGCACGGTTAGTAAATTTCGCAGGTGGGCAGCATCCCATAGCTCCAATTTCCGTTTTCTTCCTACTTCTTCCCGTTCATTTCTCTCACGTTTCTATTCCCTGTCCTTTTTCTTCGTAATTCGACAGTCATTTATTTCCATTTAAACGGTTTTGTCATAATGACACGGTTTCTCATCTGTTATCATATTAAATGAATATAATGATAATGAAACTGGAGTTCTACAATGGACCGAACTCTGAATGAAATATACATATGTATACAAGCACTCGTAGGCACGCGTGCATGTTAGCTATGTATTCATAAGTCAGATTTAAAACTAATATCAAAAACGTTACCATTAAACTATGAAAAAGTTCCACACGTGGTCTACAATGGATTATTATGCTTGGATATGAAAGCTACATCACAAGCCCGTTATTAATGCGACCGATACTCATTCCGCACTCATCCGTAGATACGATCTCTCCGCCCAGTCAATCGGATCGCGGAGTCTAAACCCATAATTACCATTAGCCCACCCATAGCGAGTGCGATGCTACGAGCGTATGAACCAAAATTTCAATTTACACGCTCTTAGGTATACGCTATCTAAACTATGTGAAATAGATGCCAAGCGACTACATATTTACTTTCCCAATCTTTTTTATTTTCTTCTAATCACGTTCCTCCACTTTTTTAAATGGCTGATCTTAAGATAGTTTTTAACCAACTATATTACTCAAATGATACCTTAAGGCAACAATCAGTTTAGGACAGTAGCATCATAAAAACTGTGTACGAATTTTAAGTTTAATTTTATTTACGATTATTCTGTATTCGTGTGCGCTATATTAGTTATTATAATATATAAAATTAATATTTTTCTTTAACATTTGTTCTAAAATTTTTCGCCCGTAATGATACTACTATTGCAAAGTACATTGTTTTAGATGACTAATGTACATCTTCTCTTGTTTCAGGCTCTGAGTAACAATTTGGAGCCAGACAAACGGTAAGTCGATTTGCATGATATGTTCATTTGCCTAATACTGGATTATACGTTCACATTATCTCTTCAGTATCTTGACTTTGAGTTTAAGAGGATGGAATATTCACGTAATACATAAAATACAGAACCGTGCGAGATGTGCTTTAATAACTTTTCAATGAATTAGAACTCCTATAAATTTCGACATTTTAATAGCTTTGAAGCCACTTTGAAGCGGGTGGAGTTGTTTATTTATGGGAAATACTCGTGCTAGGCAAGGTGGACACGGTGCTATTAGTTCAAAGAGGTAGTTGTTATCTGTTTTGGGAAAATTTGATATATCGAAAGGGAGGCTTAAACTATTTGGACCGACACCCTCACTTAATTTCGGCTCTTTTGCTTAGGACCCCAGATTCCTTCTTCCCTTAATATATCATCATGCTGTTCAGATTAGACTTTTATTGTTAGAAAAAAATATGAGGTCCTAACGTAAAAACAATTGTTTTTGTAACAGTTAACAAATTTTTCGGCATTTGTGTATTGTTTCGCAAAAAAATACAAATGAACAGACAATACTCTATGTGTTTTGTGCGTATAATATTGTGCGTAGTACGTAACTATAAACTGTAAATTTTAAACGTTGTATAAATACACAATATTTTGCACACACACAGTCAAATATGAATAACATAATGAAAGGCTATTGTTCGAATAAGAGAATAGAGTTTTGATGAATGAACGCTCAGTTAATAAATCGTTTCAATAATGAATATTCCGATAATCGAGGTTCTACTGTAATTATTCACTCTAATTGCTACAGCGATTAAACAGTTCGATTCCCGCATATACGTTTCACCGTAAACGATGTTACAGATTCACCCCTTCAACACTGTTGCAAGCGTTTCCGCATCTCAAGTGTATAATAGATCTGACGAATACTGATCGCTATTATGATCAAAAGGTAAGCAAAATACACATTTTTTATAAGAGAAATTTAATGTACATATGTATAGAATACAATAAAGATTAAATTCATCAGAATAATTACATATTAAAATTCATACATTTAGGTGTACAGTTTTAACAGTTGAAACTGAAAGACGTTTGACTTTCTTTTCTCTTTGCAAGCGATCATTAGTTGCATTCCTTGATTGGGCAGACATATCCAAAGTCATGGCATTTTTACATGGTTTTCTACATGTCTTTTTTACTCGCATCTCTTCAATTTTCTTTATTTTTCTTTTTTGCTTCATTCTTTATTTTTTAATGGAAGGCTTGTACAACATTACACCTGTCAGTTGTTGACTTTGTCTGACTAATGGCGTGGTTCAAAGGACGATATGAGGGCTAATGAACTTATTACTAGATTTTTGGAATAGCTGATTGCCAACACAACTCGATCATTGAACCTGTGTCCACATCAACGAGCATGTATACCTTTTCTGGGTTAGACCTGTCACAACCCAAGACCGATCAATTATATTAAGAAGCCCTAGGCCTAGATTCTGAGTCTGTATTCGGTCGTTTCGTGTCTTCTTTTTTTTTTCTCCGTAGGTCATTTGTTGCGCGAACAGAATCTTAGATCGGTGGGGGAAAACGTGTTTAGAATATTACATAGCTTTTAAGCATCAATGGTGCCGCTAGATAATGATAATTAACTCGTAGATCCTTTAGTGTCGCTCGCGTCTAATTAGAGCAGATTATAGTATTTATAATGAAACCTATAATTTTTTATTTGTAAATGATATCGTTTAAAAGGTACGAATTTTACTGGGACTATTAAATAAGAAATAAGGACTTGTAATATCTTTCTTTCTATTCATTTTTCATACTACTTTGGACATTATGTTCATTACTTTGTGAACTCAATTTAAAAATGTAAGATACCTATTAGTGTAATGATTGATTTATCTTGAAGCACTAAACTTGTTACAAGTTGTAGTTAATTGATGAATCTACGTGTTGAAACGGAGAACGTGAAGTCTAAAGAAAAATAATACCACAGTGAAACATACCTATTTTCCAATATTAATTCTCTCGAGATTATGTTGTGAATGAGAAATAAATTGAGGAATGTGTATCGTCGTTAGTTTTGTGTTCATCGAGCAGTCCGATATATACTTCGCTTAATTTAATCAGCATCTTTAATAGTGGCCATCATCCTCTCGCGACTTTTCCAAATAATTACCTGCATATTTCGTTACCACACGGAAAGTTGTTTGAGACAGTGATTGCAAAATTGAGGATCGATAAATTTTAATAATGTAAGGATCGTTATGTTACAGGAATTCATTAATTCTGGAGTCAAGTATGAAAAAATTATGGTTCGCGGCCGGGAGATTCCCACCTTCGACGTGGTAAAGAAGTAAGTATTTTCCCAATTTCTTATATTAGTTTCTTCATTAAATAAAATTTCCAGTCCATGTATTTTAATCCAACGTCATAATACAATTCTTTTCAATGAAGTGACACATTTAATTAGTCTTAAAAAATTAAAAGTCTATTGAAGTTGATATGTAAATGCTGATTGAAATCGTGGTTTGTTTGCAAAGCTATAAACTTCTATGGCGTTACAGGTAGCGCCATGGCGTTTGAATACCATTATAACCCATTGAAAAGACCTTCCTATCTATACTCCTACCTTGCTCGGCGTAGGCGTGTTGGCGATTTAAATCGCATTCAGGTTTGCGATTACATACGTATAGAACATGACATGGACATACTGTTTTAACCACCTATCTACCTTAACGCCCCTCATATTTCACGTCTATTACTTCTCTTGGTTTGTGCCTCAGGGTAATCATGAATTAGCACTTGATTGAGATAATATTCAGATAATCATTTTTCTGTCAAATGATCATCCAAGTTTTATTCAAAAAGGATTGAGTCCTTCTTGTTTTTTGCTCGATTCTGCATACGGTTGTGTTATATAAATGCACGAAAATTATGGTTGTCGTGTGTCCAATATTTTTAATTCACTAATTTAGGTAATAAAGAAACTCGTTATATAGCGAGTCATGTTACACCTTTCAAGGAATCTTAAGGTAGTAGTCTACAGTGACATCAAAAAATTCGCTGCGGTTAGATACACGGATGCTACCTGAATTTCTTACTAAGAGCAGATAGGAAGTTATAAATATGAGTGTAAACGCTTCTTTTCTTGCTATATTTCATATAAATTTTATAAATTTATAATATTTACATTGCTCTTACTTACAAACGATGACGCTGATCATTTTGAGTCATTAATGTAAAATTCTAATTTTTTTACTATAATTAAGTATGTAAAGATTAAATGATAAGAAGTGAAACAT